AACACACACAAAGAAAAAAGCAAGATTCCCCGATACAACGCAGCATGCACCAATCCAATCACAATTGACGGAGAAGATTTGGAAGATGTACAAACCTTTACATATTTGGGCAGTATCATCGATGAACACGGTAGATCTGATGCAGATGTGAGGTCACGGATCGGTAAAGCAAGAGCAGCATATTTACAACTGAAGAACATCTGGAACTCAAAACAACTGTCTGTCAACCAACACCAAAGTCAGAATTTTTAATGCAAATGTGAAGACAGTTCGACTGTATGGGTCGGAAACCTGGAAAACTACGAAATCCATTATCCAGAAGATACTGGTGTTTATTAACAGTTGTCTATGCAAAATACTTCGGATCCGTGGACCGGACACTATTAGCAACAACCTATTGTGGGAGAGAACAAATCAGATCCCAGTGGAGGAAGAAATTACGAAGAGCTGGAAATGGATAGGACACACATTGAGGAAAGCACCGAACTACGCCACAAGACAAGCCCTCACATGGAATCCTCAAAGCCAAAGGAAAAGAGGAAGACCAAAGAACACATTACGCCGGGAAATGGAGATAGACATGAGAAAAATGAACAAGAATTGGATGGAACTAGAAAAGAAGGCCCAGGACAGAGTGGGTTGGAGAATGTTGGTTGGCGTCCTACGCTTTATTAGGGATAACAAAAGTAAATAGGTATAAGATAAGCAGTATAAAAAAGTAAGGATACAAATACTATTGCAAGTGTGCAAGTAACTAATACTTCCTGGTTGCTTACTCCATGAAAGTCAACACATTTTTTAAATGTATGGGAAAAGAAAGAAAAGGCACAAATTTAGTTCTTCTTGTCAATCGCAAAAGAGCATCAACCATTACGACTGATATTGAGTTAGATAACTATGTAAGCTGTTTCGTTATTATTTACAGACCTTATTTATCACTCTGCGTCTATCTTAAACATCATTTATTGACTAGTTTTGTAGCGACCACAAAATGTAATAATGGCATTAGTATTGCCAACAACATCTTATTACCCTAATAACCTTACACGAATTTGCTTAATCTAACTATACCGACCGTGAAATAAACACATTTACCAATCCAAACTGCAGAAAAAACTTGATGGCATTTCTTAAAGGAATGATTAATCCCACGATCGTAAACAAAACAATTAAGACGATAGATTACATTCTATGACAAATAAAGTGTAGGTACATAAACCTTATAAAAAAAAATGAAAACAAAATATTCGCTTTGAGAATAAGCGAGAACGAGATTAACTTCAAATTGTCGAATATATATATATATATATATATATATATATATATATATATATATATCGGTAAACCATAAGTAATTTTTAAAAATGCAGAAGAGGCGGCAAAAAAGAAATTACTACAAATAGTACATTGATATTATTTGAAAAGCATGACCCGGATAAATGTGTAGAATGAATTAAAAATATGTACAGAAGAATGCTGTTTAAAATTTCACATTTTTTCTTACTAACAAGGATGCAATGTATCAAAGAAGATGAATGTAGAATAACTTAAATAGCAACAATAACAAATAAATAAAATTACTTTTTATGCAAACATACTCTTGTTTACATAGACAATAAGAAAAACCGATGACACGGGATCATTCACCCGTCTTTTTTTCCAGTACACATTAAGATTGAAAAAAATCATAGGATGATATTTTATTTGCTGAACATACACAAACACGCACAGATAAAACGAATGTGTTTACAATATATGGAATTCTTGTAGTAGATTTATTTAGGAAAACAAACTGTAAAATCTTTGTTATTTTGCAGAAGAGAGAAAAAAGAAGCTTATTTATCATATTGAAACAAGAAAAAAAGAGGAAGTCAAGTAGCAACGAGCAAGATAGAACTTTGTCTATCAACTTTATAAACGCACTATTTAATACAATGAAATGGGATGCATGTGCACTGTCAGATATACAGGAATCTAAAAATTTAACGGAAGGAATAAAACTTCGACACACGTACACACAAGTAAAAATGACATGTGGTATGTTTCAAATAATAACTGTGAAACAAAAATGCATCAGAATTTAAAGCGGATCAACAGCTGTTGACCAATTCACAGAAAAATTTGAAATGGAGAAAAAAACAGAAACCTCATAGTCTTCCCAATAAAGGCAAGGAATTCCTCCCCCCCAAATCATAGGAATGATATACAGCTAAACAAAAAACATGGAGAAATTGAATATGTTGCAAATCAATTAATAGGTAATTACTATACACAGTCAATAACAGGTAGAATGGACCTATCAGACAGATAGAGAAATAAGCAAGCAAGATGTACAATATGGCTTTTACTAGAATACATATTTAGTATTAATGGAGGGAGAGAGGGAGATGTAAACAAGTAGAATTGGGACAAATCACAGAGGAACGAAAAAGTAACGTTATGGTGTGGAAAATTACACACATGCTCTGTCTGCAAGAGCTATTTAGAGAAAGCAATGTGATAATAAAGGTGATTAGAATATTAATAACATGTATAATATACAAATGAAAGACAGTAACAATGAAAACATAGAGTACTGGAGGCATGAGTGTGTATGAGTAGATGTTCTGAAGCGATACAAACAAATATATGATAAGTCCATGTCGAAATAAAGCAAAATTTGGAAAAGTGAACGACATAATGCTTATTTATCACAAGACGAGACTGCTTTATTGAATTATAATGAAATTTATAAGTAAGCATAAATTACATATAGATTTTCTTTACCCCCCTTGAAATTAACTAATTCAGATAGAAATTAGTTTTCAGAACAAAATGCAATTGTACTAATTCATCATAGAAATTTTATCAAGAGAATACAATGCATTAAACCGTGTATACGTACACTGCAAAATAAAAAAAATTTCTCATAATTTGCAATGATATTTTGTTTTGGTTAGTTTGTATTTAGATCATCTCTTATATTGATTAAATCAGATGAGGATAGATTTACTAGACAAGAGTCAACAACTTTCAATTGACGTTTAATTAAATCATATAATTCATATTTATCCCGCATTGGTTTACGTTCAGTTTTTGTAGGTTTACGACCTAGAAAAACACAAAAAGAAATAGAGAGAAAAAGAGATGTATTGAAATGGAAATGAGTTTTTGTTTTTGGATGTAAATGAAATAAATTAACATAAATACATCCAGTTGATTAGTCATTCTTTAAAATTTCACAGTAAAATTAGTACATCATACCAAGTGAGGTCGATAATTTGTTGTGGTATACAATAAGGATTTGTCAACTTCTAAATCGATTTTACACAGAGCAAGTATAACAAATGGAACAGAAAATATGAATTGACTCTATTTTATCAATTCAATCCAGTCACTCATATTCATTTTCGTTTAGAAAGATATTACACATTTTTAGAGAAAATATTTTTAATCGATTAACTACAACTTATTCGGTAATGATTTTATGCTAAACTGTGATGTGCACATGTATGTTAGTGTAGAACTATTATGGGAAACTAATTGGCGTGAAGTATCTCTTTACCAAACTTACATTACATAATCAACAATAGTGATTATGAATAGTTGAAATGATTCAGCTTCATGCTTTATAAAGAAAATCAATTATGTAAGACTTTCATTGATACACATTCAGAGAAAAATAATTAGAGAACTGAGTTAATGCAAATTCTACACCTCTTCTTTTACCTAACTATAGAATCTTGTATAGAATAGGTTACCTTCTACACATATAGTGACAATCCTCAATTTTGAACATCACTACTTCCATAATCCGATATATTTCTGTTAGATTTATGATTGAGTAAATAATAATTTATTTTGTAATTTTTTGAGTTATCTCATTGTTGATAATTTGACTGCATTTTGATCAGTTTTAGATGATATATGCACATCTTATGTGGATTGTCTCAATACAACCATTATAATTCACAAGTTTGTATAGAACAGAGTTCTATACAAATGGGTAAATTAATATTCCAATCAATACAGTAACAGAATAAAATTGTATAAAATCAGTCCAAACAAGTGCATATTCTTGAAAAAAATAAATCATATCCATGTTATACCTAGAGGATAACTAGACTAAAAAAGTATGTTATGCATTAAAATGTACATGATATCTTACTTGAAAATAATAATGATAATATTTCAGTTGGAGTATATAGGTACTTTCAATACACGCTCTATAAATACCTTTTTTATAAACACACAAAAAAAACTAATGTAACTCATATGGTTTAAATTAATTATAGTTTAATTTGTTACTATTCATTTAGAATTTATACAAGTAGCAATTTATACAACTTGTATAATAAGAGAAAAAGATATTTCAAGTAAAGAAGAAGAAAAAAAAGAAACATTTCACATTGATAAAACCATTTTATCCTGTTTCACCTTTGTATTTTATAAATAGCTCTAAACTAATATAAACATTGAAAACAATGATTACATTTATTGATAGAGAGAGGTGTGCTGAGTAACACATTAATTTATTGGACAACTTTTAAATATAGATTATTACAAAGTGTGTACTAAAAAAATACAATTTTAACTGTTTATTAATTTGTTTTTCATAAAATACATTCCTGTATATAAGTAAATTGTTAGATACATATGTATATATCGTATAATAAATAAAATATTATTAATGTACCGTAAAATGTTATACATTGATTGATAGTTCTGTTTCTTGTATCGAAATTGTTGTATAAAGAAAAAGGAACAACAAACAATTAATGTAACTGAACATGTGATGAGATTGCATAAACATGTAACTGGTTAACTGTTCAAAAGTATACACGAATAATAATAATAATAATAATGTTTTTTAATGAATTAGCTGTTAACTAATTATAATTACTTTAATTGACAGATTTAGATAACTTTTTTTTAAAAAAAAATTTGGAAGTTTTACTGTTTCTAATGATAATAAAAGATGATACTTCTATGTATAGTTTAATATGTTTAAACTGATTGATACTCTTACTAGTGAATGAAAATATACAACCTCTGCCATTAAAAAGAAAGAATGTATTTATAAAATCTCAGCGAATGGATTTTGAAGTAAATCTAACGTTTCGGCTGACAATCTGGTTCAAGCTTTTTCAAGGAAATATAATTAAACACCAAAATTATCGAATATAAATAGATACATGGTTCTCTGATTTACTGTATACTGAATAAGTCATCCAATTAACGTTAACAATGTTTAAAGTAAGTATTTACATTACAACCTCCGCTTTCGCAGTAATACGATGTTATGGGGGAAAGTATAATAAGTGTTGAAATAAAATTATAATGAAGTAAGAATTGAATGTACATAAATAAGAAGGCAAAATGAACATTTCATTATACACGGTTTTTGCCAACAAAATCAAAAAGTAAACCAGTTTACAAAACAGTAATAATTATTTTATTAATTAAAATATTATGAAATATGCAATAATAGTAAAAGTAGTAAATTAGTTTGAAATTTTTGGTTATTTATTAAATACAAAATTAATAATGAAGAGTTAGGAAAAAAGAAATTAAAGGGGAAGACGATAAAAATAGTGAAATACAAAAAAAATATTTTCAGGAAAAAAAGATAGACAAGAATATAGAAAGGAAAATTTGGAAAAACCATGGGTATAAACCAACTTGTCTGAATCATTAAACATTATTCAGGTATTACTATGAACAAACTAAATACTTACTAACTAAATATACACTAGTGCTACTGTCTTGGCAAAATTATGCTTTCAAAGCATATACCATTCTATTGTGTGTCAACTACTTGTTCAAAGCTACCACAATATATGATAATTTTAAGTTTATCTTTGTATACAAATAAGCATGCGAAATGTTATCATCAGTCAGCGATAACAATTAGAAACCATCCTGTTTTATAAACAATATGTCACGCTAATAATAATAATAATAGAAGAGAGTTTGGATAAGATATCAAACTAAATAGAATAGAATATTTCCGCTAAATTGACTTTAAGCACTACGCTTATAACTATTGATGTGACTATTTTCACTATCGGTGTGTAGTATAATGACAAATATAATTCTTAATGCATAATAAGTCATTTTTTTCTTCCCTATCTTTCTTTTAATTACGTTCCCTTATAATATTGTATATTTATCCACATGAAATGAGTACCCATCTATGCTCACCTCTTTATAAATACACGTTTTTCATTTCCTGTACAAATATTAATTAATTAATTGCTAATTATAGACCATCATTCATTAGATTGTTAGATACAAAACAAAATTTAATGAGAAATTATATATTTTATAGATCTGAACAATTAACGAACAATAATAATAATAATACACTAAGGATATACACGTACTTTTGTAGGACATTAATAAAAAACAAACTGATAGTAGATACATCAAGTGATAAATATTGCTTACATGAAAAGTCCTACAAATTTCTAATTTTAAAACAGTAATATTAATATCACAAAAGTTGATATAAGCAATGCAAATCAAGAAGCCAGACGAAGGCTAACAATTGCATTGGAAAACTGATACTTAATGTTTATGTCAACTCAATGGTTCAGCTGAGAATTGTACTACCTCAGCATTAATGATCTGAGTTTTAGACCTACAGTAGTAGTTTAAGTGATCGCCAATTTACGTAAGACCTTTAACATTTTTTCTTTAGATATTATGAATTACGTTTCTAATAATGATAAACGTTTATTGTTATTTAGCTGATATCCTTATTTTATTGTTTTAGGTATCACTGCGTTTATTTAGTAATATCCAAAATAAATTTAGGAAATTAAACAAAAAAACCCTGAGAAACTTAACAATATATTCTACAGCGAAATGGGATATTTGAATAGTACTTAGACACCCTAGCTAAATAGAAAGAAATAAGCGGTTTGAAAATATGAACCCATAACTGATAACTGAAAGTTCAAATTACCAAAATGTTACTATTATTATTACTACTGTTATCATTACTACTATGATTGTCAAGATATTCAAAAACAGACAATACAAACAGATGACATACTTTCATACTTGTTGACTTACTCCCCCTACTTATATGATTCCCTGAAACACGGCTTTTTACTAGGACTAAGGAAAACCCATCCGAAAGCTAGCTATTAGTGGTTAGATAATTATTATCAAGTATGGACATTTGTTCAAGCTTTCACTGTCTGAAAAGTACAGAGATTTCACAAAACAGATTGATGAATATGATCAAGCAAACAAAGGCAACACACAGCAAAGTATTTGAATTTAATTACAAGTTAGTCATACAAGTTTTCATGGAAACAATACAATAATCATCATCACCTCAAAACTTTTAGAATGCTTGATACAAAATTGTTTAAAACTCAAGATTTGTTCGACTCTAATCATTTAAGTGAACAACAATTAACATTATATAAGATATTGTTTAATAATACTTGTAAATATATAAATGATTGAAGATAATACTAATTTATGAATCATACCTAATACACGTTTGATACTATTCTCATATTCGACTAATTCAGTTTGAACAATATGCTTCTTTAATAAGACATTTTTCTTTTCATTATACAATTCCATAGGAGATAAGGAGCATAGTTGTTTACGATATCTGTAAATAGATGATACATAAAACAACTGTTCATAGAAAATTGATAAAAACAAAGAGACATATAGTACATAAAAATAGATTGAACGAAGTAAAGTATCCTATGGTTGACATTCATATACGCACAGGGTTTCTAAAACTTTTATTACACATATCAAAAGTTTTAAAGGTTGCATGAAAAGAATTGCCAATTGTATCTCCAAGTTGGATTTATTTGTAAACAAGGAGAAAAATATGAAAAATGACAGTTCAGAATTTACTGCAAATAAAATTCAGTTTTTGATTCGAAATAAAATCCAAATAAATGATAATCATTAAGTGAAATGAGAGGTAGTTTTAATATGTAACCAGATGCGAACAATGTTGGATTACACGGTCGGATGATGTAATGGAAATGAATGAAGAAAACATAAACACAAAATGAAAACAGAGCTAAGAAAGTCATACGGGAATATTAGAAAAGCCATACGATGATGATAAGACAGATTATTGAGAAGGATGGTTTGTATCCAAGCTCCATTTTACATCAAGTGACACAAGAATCGTCTTAGGTATACATATATTAAGGTTGAGAATGTGGATTCTCAAGCCCCTCGTGACTTGACCTTCATATCACTGAAACCAGTATAACCAGTTTGAACTGAGCAAATTGAATTAATTCTGAAAGACTGATTATATTTTGCGATGCAACTTATTCAAATGTAATTAAAACACTGACACTTTAGATGTAATAGTCAGTGAATATCAGATTATACTCAATTTAGATTATATATTGTGTAAACGATAAATCCATTTTCTGTTTGAGGTTTAGGAAGTAAGCACATAACTGACGAATGAATTAGTTTTATACACAATTTTACAGCCCTATACAGGTTATCTATTATTTGCGTGCTTGAATGATTATTTCCAACTCTTTTGACCAAGTTAAAATGAATTATAATTAGTTTGATAGCGTATAAAGTTATACAATAAATAATACTATTCGGTTACACTTGACATGTTTATGTATTTCGTTAACGTTATTATAGTTTAAAATCATTTCTTTCATTCATCAACCATGATATCCAACATTGTGCAGCTTTTGTATAAAGAAAACTGCAAGCTTATAAACAGTTTATTGACAAAAAAGTTAAAAATCTCATAGTAATATTTTTTATTTGATCAAAAGTAACGGATGCAACGTTACGAATATTGTAGTGTTTATATTTCATTAACTTAAACAGGATTAAAACAAAACTCTACACAATAATAATATTAATGATCCTATAACCAATAGATATAACAAGCACTCAAGTACGCAGTACAGTTCGCTTATTTAGTGGACATATTTGGATACTCCAACTGTGAATGAAGAACAAAAAACACCCTTATTCTGTATTCGTCCATTATGCGTACCAGAAAAACTCTGCAACAAGGTATTAATCCCACTAGAATAAGGATAATAAAGATGTATAATAACTGTCTGCATAAATATATTTAGTGTCGGCAGAATTGGGGATAAAAAATAAACTAAGTCATTAGCCAAACAGTAGAAGGATAACAATTTTAGGAGTGAGACAAAATAAGAGGAAATTCGGCAGGAAAAACACTAAGTTCAACTTTACACAAAATAAATTAAACAAATATAAACTTTAATGGCTTTTGGAAATTTGAACATTCACTAAACACTTTAACAACAAATTTCCGCACAATGATTTTTAAGGTCTTATTGAAATAAACAACATATACCATTCGAGCACCAAAGCACACACGCACGCACTGTATAGGGAAAAGCCAAAAAATAGGAAAAAAGTACATCGGTCTAAATACATCTGAGGTCAGTCAACTGTAAATTTTCGATACTTGCTAGTTGGTTAGTTAAATATAACGGCTATAATTCTCACGAAAATATTTATTTTGCCCCTAAATATTTTTTTTAAAAAGTTCAACAGTAATAAGAGCCCAATAGGACTGATGAACTTAAGTAAAATTGTTATAATGAACAATAATTTAAAATATAACTCATTTTTTTAGGATATATTGTTTTTTCCACTTAGTATACTTAGACTAAATGATGAATATTTTTGTATTAGAATCTGTTAAAACGGATTCATTATGCTCAAGGACATTTTTATTGAAAAAAAAATGAATAAAAATATAAGATGTAAGCGTACTGGTAGATTTAATTAATGTGGTGGTTTGTGTTTCTTTTTCAGTAGTAACAAAAGAGGAAGATGTACTTTTTTCCGTTTGGTTTAATGTTACATTTTTTTCCTTTGTATTGAATAGTTCGCAAATTTCACGGTCGTCGGTATCTGCATTCACTCTCTTCTCTTTACAACTAAATAACATTTAACTAATTAAGATAAAATCCCGATAAGATTGAAAAATTGTACAGTTTAAATCTAAGGTCACTATTTCTCTCTGTGAAACAAATGTGAAAAAATTCATGAGATACACTGATGAAGAAAACGGACAGATAAAGTTTATTCGAGCCATTCAGCATCAAATGTCATTAGTTAAATGAAAAATTAAAAAGAACACTGAAAATTACTCAACTTATTCTAATCTAATGTGTCAAGAATAGATTAGCTCAAATAGCTAAACTGTTCAATAGATCTATATTCACCCAAATAGATATGTCCGTATTAATAGCGATGATAATGGTAACTAATTGCAGCCCCATTATGCGATATATTATCAATTGGTTTAGTGATAAAGCTAAATATACATAACTTCGACAATAAATAATAACAATGAATATAGACAACTTATTAAATTCCCTGTTTGTAGCTCGGCGAACCACTTGTTGACAATGCTTTTTAAACTACTATTGGTACTAGGAGAGGTCATCTCTGATTATCAGGACGTGTGTGTCCTGTTGCTACATTACATTCAGCGGTACATGTTAACTAGTGAATATTGACCAAAAAATTCTTGAATTCAGTTTATTGGGCCGATTTATTTTTTAATGTACTTTAATTCGATAACCAACTATTTCGGAATGTTAATCTGTAGATAATTCCCCCAGTGTGTTCAAACCCAGATCAAGTTACTGTCCACCAATGAAAGCAACGTTACGACTATAACTATATGTTAAGACAGTATGTATTCCCCTCAAAAATTTGTTTTTGTTAAATATTTATTAGTGGTAGATACAAGCGTGAATTTAAATAACGAATAAAGTCAGTGAATACTAAAATATGTCAGCAAAACAATTGATTACGGATGTAAAAGAATTTGCTTTTAAATATGGTCTCTCCTATCAGCTACAGAGTGGTAAAATTATGTAGCACTAAAAGAGCAACAAAATAACATCAATCCAAGAGTTGTAATTAACTGTTCCAACTTCCCCCGATAATCTTCAATTTTTAGGAATCAAACAGAACCATGGATCCATACGTTGGGGAGATGATTTTTGAGCTGTTAAACAAAATTATGAGATCCATATGCTCCACTAGAACTACTAATTCATCTTTCAACGTGGTATTTTCGCTTAGGAAAAACACCAGACTGATCCAAGAAGGTAAAACTTATAATAAGAGCTTTAGAATGCATACCTCTAACTTAATTCAAAATTGGAATGTTGTGTATAAAAGTGAATACGTCCACGATAAGGCCTAACTGACCTTAAATTGGTTTTCGACATGTTAGTAAAAAACATAAGAGAAAATAAGTATCTAATGTTCTTCAATTGTTCTCAGCATTGAACTATTATTGATTAACAATAAGAAGTCAGAAAAAATGGTGAAAATTGTTATAAAATATAAGTCTACAAGTAAGCAAGAATAAAACTTCTTACAACTGAATGTTGTGGTCATCCGGTCTCATAAGTGATTTTCGATTATTGGAACTAAATGGAAAACTTGGATTTTGATTGTTTTCAATTGTTACACGATTATGATTTTCTGATGACTGTAAATTACAATTTCTTTGTTTAACTTTAACTGGAAAGCTAGATTCTTTATTCTTATACACATTTTCAAATGTACTTGAGTCAGAATCATAACTTATATTATGAATATTATCTTGTAAAAAGGTCGGAGATGTGATTGTTGGAGTGTTTAGAAATTCCATTAATTTGTTTGAAACCGTTATATTTGGTTGTTTATCTGTAGATTGTTCATTAACATCAACTATGGACACATTTAAACGAGACAAATTCATTCCAAATGGGAATTCGCTACACACACCATATCGAGAAGAAATAAGACGTTTAACCTGACGATAACGCTCATATATAGGTTTCATGATTCGTTTTGATCTAGGAGATTTTGGTCGTCCATAAAGACCTTCAAAATATAAGAGACTTTTTTGAATATCATATTTCTCTTGTTCAATCTGAAATATTCAAAAGAGAAAGCAGTTTTTGACAGGCGAACATATTTTCAATACCACGTTAAGCAACAAAAATTACAGTATTTCTGCTAGCAATCATGATAAATACAAATAAATAAAAGTGCTCTTAGAAATCACGTTCATATTTTAAAAGTACGACCAAATTAATCTTAACAAAATAAGAAATACCGGTAAGACGCATTATGTGAATAGTAAGAGCAGTACACTACACTAAAAGAATAAACTCTCAAAGTTTACACCAAGCTAAAATAAAACCGATTAATCATTATATCAATCAGATATTAGTTAACACAGATAACCAACAGGAAGAATAAGATTTACCGAACAAGATGAATTCGTTATATTTCAAGGCTTTTCAATAGTTCAAAAAATGGTCCTAAAGTTACATTGGTGATATTGTTAGTAAAAAGTTTTACATACCGTAATCAACGAAGTTTAGTTTGAAACGACATAAGAAACAAGAAGAGCAAACATGTTTAAAATGATAATTATCAAGATCGGTTGGTATTTATATATTGAAGATGAAGTCATTATAAATAATAGGGTGAAGTTTCAAGTGATATTGATTGTATATAGTTTGACATAATGTAAATTAGTCGTGAAACATATTAATTCAACTGACTAAAACAGTGAAAAACGTGAAAAAGTTTAGTATTCTCCTAAGTGTTAAAAAGTAGGAAGTCTAAGTTCAACTTATGGTTTGAATCTTGTTGTAACAAAAGCTTTTTAACACTAACTGTAAACGGTATTGACATTATAACAGATATTATATGTGAAAATTATACTTGAAATAATCTCAGCGATTGAAATTTAAATAATCCCAACGTTTCGTCCAGCTACCTTGTCTGGACTTCTTCAGGATTAGCTAGACGAAACGTTGGAATTATTTAAATTTCAATTGCTGAGATTATTTCAAGTATAATTTTCACATATAATGACTTCTCTATACTCTGTCAAACTATTCGTTCTAATCTTGACGAATATTCGTATACATTATAACAGATAGTTCGTAAAAACCTTATGAGATTGATTTAGTTGATCAATTCGATCTGAACAAGAATTTGTTGTTTTCTGGCTTTTGTCAGTATTTGTGATTTGATGAATTGACTGAAGAACTAGAAAATGTTATGTTAACAATGGTTAGAATAAAATATTCAAATCTATTGTTATTCTTATAAAAAGGTTGTTTCACAAAATAACATTTGGAACGATATTACTATCAAGTGATTCAATCCACCGATTCTCAAATGGTTGGAAGATTGTTGTACAATAACGCTAAATTATTGAAGTTAGCTACATTAACCACTGGATGCCGATCCAGTAGTCTAAAGGTCCACTATATTATAAATCTTGAAATTCTTGAGTTCCTTCCCCGATAGGATATTGGATGCTGACTGATGGGGAGTTGCGTACTAGGATGGAACAGCTGTCCAATACATACTGCTTTTTATCAATTGTTTGAACAAGGTCAGTCCGTGACGTAAATAATAAAAATTAATTAATTAAATACTTCTGTCAAATCATTATTTTAAAAAACTTGAAATGATAGAAGAAACACCATGTCAAACACATCCAATATATCAAATTCAACGAGGATATATAATTCCATCATTTATTAAATTACTTACTTGGTCCCAGTTCATTTCACTCAGTCGTTCAGGACGATTACAATATTCACGTTGTTTAGATAATGCAGCGCATAAAAGTTCATAGAATGACTCAATAGATATCAATGATGAATTTGATTGCTCTAATGATACATCACCAACATTATCATCTTTATCACCAACATTTTCAGAATTTTCATAAAAATCTCTTAAGTCTTTCAACAAAGGTGGCGAATATTTTCTTAAGAAAGAATGATATTTTCCTGAAGATGTATAACTGTTTGATGAAAATGAATTTACTCGCCTAATAACTGAAATAACTGAAGGTGAAATTAAATTAATATTTGGTTCTTCTTTATTAGAAAATAATAAATTCTTAGATATTTTTACTGGAATAGTAGTTACATTTTCTTTATTAATCAATTTGAATGTGGGTAATGTTTTTATGCTTGATAATTCATCCTACAATATATAAACCAAAAGTAATAGAAACAAAATAGAATATCAAGAAACAAGATAAGATTTTTCATGAAAATAACTTAATATTTCTATTCAAGCAAATTGTAAGCAGCTGAATAAACATTCTTATCATATATACATTTAAAAGATAATTTATATGCTAATAAGGAATTATATATGATACCAGTAATTATATTATTTACATGTGTTTATTGTTTGGCATCATCTTGTAGAAACTTAAATAGAAGCCATACGAATAATGAATACTAGAAGTATAAAACCACAGACGTTAACTGATATTGACATATTTAATAAATAAAAAAAACGGATAAACCTAAACAGTAATAAGCATTATCTTTGAATATCATGATAAAACCATAGATAAATAAGTTTCGTTATCTTTTTGCTTCAGATAATCATTAATAGCTTCATATATGAAAGTTCTATTCACTAAATCTAGAGGGTGTTCTTTACAAAAAATAAACGATAAGTTTTAATATGTGGATTAATGAATATATGAAATGCATATATCAGAGTTGCAATGCCGAAAGAATGATGAACAAAGGTTCCAGGATTTTTAACAAACAAACACAGAGTTAATTATCTCTGGTCATTGGCTGTGACTGAAATATAAACATCGAATTCTTCAGTCATTGTAGATCAGATGAAAGTTTTCAGATTTTAAGTATACCTGAGTAGTTTTACATCCTTCACATAAAATCTGTTGAAAATTTATTCTTATCAACGCTGATTTTTTACTTCTCTATTCATCATTATTTTATTTAGCTATTCCTTTTTTAATTATAAATTAAGCCACTAAACAGTTGCAATCCCAAAAAATCCAAACAGAAAAAGCCTTTAAATTTGGCAATTTTACTTTTTTATGAGAATGGGTTTTTTGGAGATTTTTAGTAATTTTATAGTTGAATTCATGAGTCGACTGAAGTTTACATTTGGACTAAAATCCAGAGCGGGAAACATACGGCTATAATTACAACTCCGAAAACTTTGGATGTTGACATCTGTTACATTTCAGGGAGACATAGTTGCAGTTCAAGTGAAAAATAGTGGTTTTACACCTGTTGATTAAAGATTTACATTTCACGCTAATTGATTGAGTACAACCCAACGACCAAATGCAGATTCGTCCTCGGCCTTCGGTATATATATATATATATAGGTCGAAAAGCAAATTATAATTTTCAATGAGCCACAAACATCTTGAATTTTAACTCGAACGGAAACGATAGTTATGTGATAAGATACCTACAGATTAAATAACCCCAATTATTTCACCATGGAGAGAATATTGGGTCGGTGTTCAGTAACCCTCCTTATTATTTGCGTTAAAACTCTGTAACTTCTAACAGAATTCCCCAAGCGAACCAAGTCTATTAATGACAAAAGGATTTATGATGTCGATATTATGCAGAAAAGTGAATACGTTATTGAAACAGATATTTATGTTAAAGTGTTTTAAAATGAGTTTTTGATAAAATTTGTTCTTTGAATAAGAATAAAGAGAATTCAGTAAAAATTTCTTTTCGACGAGATCATCTACTTAAGCTGTACATTCGTATTTACAGTTATGTGGAAAATAAAATTTATTTTCGTTAAGTTATTGAGTTTTTATCAAAAATGAAGATAGGGTCTGAATATTTACTTAGTAATAAAAATATCAGATCGAACATAACTTACCATGGTTAAATGCTGTAACGATCTGTATTTCAGTTTTGTCCTTCGTGACAATTGGTTTTTGAAATACAATAAATTCGGTTCGCTGTAGGTTTTATTTGATAAATTTAACAAACTTTTTAATCCTATTGTATTTAAGGTCTTTTTGAACTTTTGTGTACTACTAAAGGTGTAACTAGAATATTTTGCTGATTTTACAAAATGATCTGATTTATTTAACTGAACTCCATGGGATCTGGTATTTTCCTCATTTTGATTTGATATTGGAGATTGATCACAAACTGAATACCGTTGTTTTATCCTCTGCTTTGTAATCATTTGATTTCTTTCAGGAGACTAAACAATCACAAATAAGTTTTTTTGTTTTAAAAAGAAAACAGGACTAAATTTTGTTAAAAAGAATAAATGAGGATGAGTGAAATAAGGTGTAGTGTTTTCTTGTTTATGCAAAGCTGCGTCTAAACATAGAATTTCGATTAATGACAGAAATGTCACAAGTCATTGATTAAAAAACTGTGATTTATCTATACTTTTATTGTTCACATTCTCATAGTTATTAGGATAATCCAATAAGTAAATGATTATAAAGATCTATCATAAACTTGAAAGGATTGAATTACGTAAATAGACTTAATAAAATAAAGTTGCACGTATATTTAGTCAACTGAGAATGTTCTGGGAAAACCCGTGCACATCTTTCGAAAAATTAGATGTGATATTTCAAGACTTCAAATACCGAACAGTCTCTCTTTTCACTTTTATGCGTACAAATTACAACTTGACCACCTACCACTTCTTGAAAGCTGTTTTGTGAATCAGAGAGTAGTGATGTTTGGACGAGTATTGGACGGTATCTGCTACAAACAGGCTATCACATGATTGAAAAAAGTATACAAATTTTTAATGCACAATGGGAAACATTTACCTAACACATACGACCATATGTTCTCATACCTAAATGTAATTTTTGAAACTTTCCAACATAACAGTGAGGAAACAAATGAACTAAAAAAAGAGTACATAAAAATAAGCATTATTTCAGTTCATAATAACATACCAAAGATTCCGAATGAGATGGAAGTGAACAGTTTTAGCTCAGAGATACAGGTTCTCAGTCATATTATCTAGTATCAAATGCCTATCAACAAGAATAATTTTTTACACGGCAAAAACCAACAGACAATTACGTAGAGGTTAGTGTTATCTCTAATATGATTACACTATCAAAATATCTTAGGAAATAACGAATCACCGAACACTGATGTAATTTTGCACTACAGAAAATTCAGACAACAATTTTAAATGGGGTTATTCGTCATTATTCTTAATTTGATGGTCTGTTCGATGCATGGTCCCCAGAAAAGACATAAAATTGAGAATACTACAATATTTGTGTCCATAATTTAGGATATAATACTGTAAGTCACACAGTTGCATTCTTCTTAAACTCTGATACATTAGGCAATAAAAAAGACTATTGGTAGTACTATTCATAGATAGATCAAATAGTCAACGGTGTCGGAAGTACTATTTAAGACTTAGGAGATATACACGTAATCACAGTTGAATATACAAGTCGATCTAAGCTAGACCACTATTGAAAACCTGGAAGCACTGGACAGCCATTCCATCCTAGTATGAGACTACTCAACAGTGCACATCTACGATCTCTCGAGTAGGACCAGAACCCAGGACATTCGGTATGGAGCGCGAATGCTTAACCTCTAGACCACTGAGCCGGCATCCAACGGTGTTAATGTCTAACTTCAATCGATCCATGATCTTGCGCAATCCTTTATCAATTGTCTGAGGTGGATAACTGTCTCACACGCGACACGTATCGGACCCTACTGGTCACTTCTCACTAGAAAGATCGTTGATGCATACTGATGATGAGTTTCATACTATGACGGAACGGCCATTAAGAGCCCCCAGGTTTCTAATGGTAGTCTAGCTTAGATCGACTCGTGAATTCAACTGTTTAAATGCTATAATCTCCGCAAATCCCTATATTGATAATACACATAATCAACAGCTACGAATTTTTTCTCTGTAAGTTACTAAAATGTTTTACAACTTACAGACAGCTTCCCGGTTTTTAGAGCAGATTCATTTAAGTGTTCGTTGTTTGCCTTCGAAGAAAGGAGTAATAAATAAGAAGGGCATGATCCACGATCTTTAGGTTTATGAATAAAGGAATGAATTGGTTTAACGGTTACTGCACCAACAGAATTTGACTTTGATCTCAAAGTAATTGGAGCAGTATGACTAGATAATATCGGACTAGTTGGTGTACTATAATTGTATTTCTTTGGTTGATGGGTAGTATCATATTGAAGAGTTGCTAATTCGAAAGACTTATTTTCAATTTCACTATTAGAACCACCTACATGATTATGGTTAGGATGAGAACGATCATATACACAAAGTGGTATTTCTGATTGATACAATAAAGTTGATATCGGCTTAACAAAACTTGAGACTGGATTTCTTTTCGCAGAAGCTGTAAGATCCATTTCATTTATTGAATAAGGAAAGCTGCTGGAGTGGCTGGGACGATCTAATTCCTAGAAGTAATACAAAGAAGAAACAAGAATATGATGGTAAAACGGAAAATTTGAGCTACTGTGAAAAATATAATTTTGTGCTAATTTATCAGTTAAACATATAGATTAGTGGTATATAAATACTAGAAGGAGAATATTTCGGATAGTTTGTTAATTTTAGATGAGAAAAAGAAATAGTCACCATGAGTATTGTACAATAACTGATTATTAAATAAAAACTCTGTTTTCTTCAGACGACCTCCAACTCCCTAGTATAAATAATGTGATTATCTATTTGCAATTTTCATAAAATTCATGCCATCATTAATGTTCAAAACTGACGGCCAATAGTTCCTACCCCTCACCCAAATAACGATGGAACCCAAGTATGACTGTATTTTGAAAAAAAGAAGAGAATGGATAATAAATAAATCCATATTGTGACTGTATGTGCTAACGAGAATGTTTCGAAAGTGCATCACTAAAACAGAAGGTCCATGAATAGGATGAACTGCTGTTGGACAACTATAAACACCCCAAGATGTATTAACAACTGATCATGTTGAATAATATACCTAAAGCAACGTAAAGTACGTAGAAGGTACAAAATGGGAATACCAGATTTAATAATGACAAAAAACTAAAACACAAACAAAAAGAGAGAATTTATGTAGTCCGTTCATATGACCATTAGTTAGTCAATAAAAACAAACACTGATACTGAGATATTTGGTAAAAATTAAGAAGTAATACTCCATTTAGATATTTGGAGACGAAAGTCTGATAATTTCTCCCAGGTTGCCTGAAAATGAGTAAAATAAAATTCCATTTACATTGATAGTAGCGTTTAAAATACATGATGCAATTGCTTAATTCCACTATTCTGTTCAACTATAACCCCCAAAATACTAATTTTAGGTGATTTTTTGGCAAATCAATACAATTTACTAACGGTGACAATATTTAAGTAACGTTACATAGTAGTTAAACATTGTGAAAACACTCTTGATCCAAATCCAAATATAGATAACACTGAAATGAAAGTATCAGATACAGAACATTGCTTTCATCTATGTAGAGCGGGATATTCATAGTTACATATTTAAACATTAATAAACTAACCTGCTTCACAGAGAAGGAAAAAACATGAGTACCGGAACATTGGTTTATCGCTTGGGTCAAAATATTCTCTACAACTGGAGATGGTTGACTTCTACCAACCGAATTGGCAAACTCATTGTTAGCAGTCGGCATTTCCATGTAAAAATGATTTGTGCTAACTGGCATATGAGTAGATGTACGTGTTGAATTTGCTGTATCTTGTACTCTAGCTGTATTAAAATCATCCTTTTCCAAATTTATAGGTCGGTGAGTATTGTCAGTATTCGGAAACCGATATCCATTATATTTCAAAGTATTTGATATAACGTTGTTATGTTGTGGGGACTGACTTAAAAGATCTTGACCATAAACTGCCACACAAGAATCCATAAACTTAGGCGGAGTTTGTATCGTTTTATTTTTCACAGAAGGCATGGAATTCCAAGTACTGATTGGATGGACACTTGATTCTTTGATTGTATGTTTGCGATGGCTGAAAGTTCTTTTAATTTTGTTGAGATCATCAGTGACGTGAGTAAAACGAATCACTTTATTGAACAAACTATCACCTGTTGAAACTTTGTTTGACGATCTTGATAACATACTAGAAATACGTAACTCTTCTCTTGGGTTCTCTTCAACAAGGTTTGGCTTCTTCTTACAATTTGATACCTGAGTTGAATTAGTAAAACAATCATCAAGTTGTGTTTCGAAGCTCAGTGCCTCTAAAGAACGGGATGTAGACATGGATGAAATAATTTTTGTGATATCCAAGGCAAGTTGTTCCGATGTCCTGAGTAAAAAGGTAATAACCACAAGGATTAATGAATATTATGATCAAAAACACATAAGATATTACTGAAATCATAGTAAACCAAGTAATTTGGTAAAAATCGCGAAAAATTTCAATGGCTTACTTTGTGTAAGGCACCTCTGCACCTGAGTCTGGAACCTCTTCAGCATTTTCTTCTTCATTATAGGAAACTGAATTGCTTCTACTCACAAAGGTTGGGGTACCAGAAACTTCAAAAGTGATTGGGCTATGTGTGGGTGAAGTTGATGGACTAATAAGGAATTCTTTGTATTGGTGAGATGACACAATGTTGTGAAATGGAGAACTGTCACCAGAGAGATTATTGTCAACTGTAACACCACACATTGAATCTGGTATACTGTGACAAGGATTTGTTCGAGGAATCTTCGGCTCACTAGAAGAAACGTCACGTGACATCCACATATGGTTATCTGGTCCAGGTTTAGGTGTATTTTTAGGAGCCAGGGGAAGAGCTTCCACAAAATGTGAGAATGTGTTTTCCTGTAGGCTGTTAATAATTCCTGGACTATTATTTTGACTGGAACTCGTTGGTATTTCACTTGTTGGCTGAACACGATCTTCAAGGATCGGTAAAGCCGAGTTAGAGACAATTTCCGGTAGTTTGAACAGATGATCCAATACGAAAAAGTCAGTTTTAGGGTGATGAACAAATATAACATCATGGTATTGGATTAGTGAAGTCATTATGTAATTTGTCAAGCCCTGATTCTTTAGAACCTTGAAGTTAATTGAAAACAATAGTTTGTAAAAACGATATCTACAATTAATGTATTACTTCATATGCATTATATTATGAATCGAACTACTACAAAAATGATTGATTCTTTATTATAATTCCATTATCAGGTCAACTTATATTATATTTGATAAAATAACACTTATAAAATGAAACAAAAACAGATAGACATTACAGGTTTTAAGGTGCCACAATTTTAAAGGAGTAACAAGTCATCATACTCGATTTATAAATAACTAAAACTAATCACCAGTATAAATGTAAAATTATGGTGGTGGTTAACACAGCAGTAACTGAGATTTGTTATTCAAAAAACATGAAAATTCCCTCAGACTAATCAAACATTAATTTCCAGGTGATGTTTGAATAACTCCAAATGATTGTTATATATATATATATATATATATATATATATATATATATATATATAAAGTTAAAACTATTCGACAGGACTTAGAGTTATTAAGTCATATAGAGTCCTGAAAATTATGCGACTCAGTGGGTAGAGGTATTATCGGCGCTTAATCACAGTAGCAGCCAGTAACAGTCTTGTTATCGTGGTCCGATATATTCCTACGAAAATTATAATGCACCTTGAAACTAAACGAAGTTTATGCTGGTTGTGTTTTTATGACTTTATTTCTTCGTAGTATTGCCCTTTTATTTTCTGCCACCTATTTCTTTGCGTCCACACTTATCAGGCACTTTATATTATGAAAATGAGAATTTCTGATCTTGAAAAAATATATGAGGGCGGTTACTAGGAATGGCATGAGCTTCACGAATCGTTACCGGTAAGTTGAGATATCCCCAACGAAATAATCAAGACATTTTGTAATAGAGCTAGTAAAAATTAACTAAATAGGGTATATTTCAGTTATATTTAATCCACAGATCAGAGTACCAGAAAGTTTACAGAGAGTGATCGCGATAATTCACAAGTCTCTTGAAGAGTAAGTTGCAGCTTACGTCAGATATCGCATCCCACATCACACACTAGCGTTTCTTGTATGGTTGCGTGACTAGTAACCACTCTACAGAGATTTCGACAAGACGTTTTTTTGGAATGGCAGACAAATTTGGATGAAATAGGGGTCATCTAACAACCTATTTTTGTCATGTTAGCTGACAAGTGACATGACATAAATGATTTAAATAATACAGCTACTTAAATCAGCTTGTTTGATTACTAGTGATAAATCCCATTGTGAGGCTGCAAAACAACATCAATTAGGATAGTCGAATTGTATATTATGATCGTTCTAATCAAGAGCAAGAAACGATAGTATTCACTGTTCATTTTGTGTTAAATACTAAATGATCCACTACTTTATTTGTATGCATTTTCCTCTTCAACTGTTTACTTCCTACTTTTTTTTTCTTCACCGATATAATTTACAACAGTTTACTCATCCAAAATAGTTCATTAATCTCACCCAATCTCCACTAAGTACGTACACTACCGTTTGGTTATGCTAGTAAATCTACAGCATATACAAATATTAACAATATACACGGAGGGAAGTTGCCAATCATGTTTATATATATGTGAATAAACGTCAACACAAATGCTATGTTTCTATACATGATGAAGTATTATTTAAGATGAAAACTTGCCTGTAAGTCCAAACTGCAACGAAACACACAAGGACCAAAAATAATTCCTAAACTATTGCGCGACATTTTATTGACGGGTTCGTTTTCCGCAATCTTGTTCAAAAACTTACACAAATATTTTAAGAGCTCATAGTTTTCATCCGCCAGTGTAAATAATACAGTTTGTAGTTTAAGTATGTACACATTCAAGTCACTTGAATATTCTTTCGCGACCTGGAAACAATAAAGGTTGATAAAAAATAATGGACTTGGACTATTTCTTATAATTTGGTAGGGTTTTATTTCGGATGGAAAGACTAATCTTTTGTTTTACTGAAAGTAACCTAAATTCGTTCAATATTTAGGGACATGACCGTAAAGATGACTGGAATCGGATAAAAAAAAATTGCGAATCCTTAGTCCACCACGTGAAATAGTGCCAGATATCAACGTAACAAGTTAATATTACAAATCGGAGTAAAAATGTGGTGGTAAGGTAGATCTAAGGTAATGTTACTTCACTAAACGAAATCTGTTTCCCATAATCCACCATCAATTAGTAAACTATGAGTAGCGTGAGAGATAAACCATTTTGTTATGGTGGTTTTAAATTGTAGAATTTTCAATGGAAACAAGTGATAGTCCCTCAGTGGCTTTCGTATTTTCTAAAACTTGTCTTAGTTATTGATAAGGTTTGAGTAAATATGAATAATTTCTAAATGGTTTTATACGTTATGTCGATATTGATGATGGATTTTATTAACACACTCAATATTGTGGCCCACCAACAAGCCTACCTGACCTACTAACCTTGGGGAAACTCTCGAAGTCAAATGAACTTGACCAAGGTTAAAGGGGAATTTTGGGGAAATATTGGGGAATTCGGCATATTTTGGGGAAGCCGCTATAGTAAACTTTGGGGAAATTTCGATAAAATGGCACAAAAACCCCAAAATTTCCCCAAAGTTTACTATAGCGGCTTCCCCAAAGTGAAAATTTTAAAACTAATTTAGTTTTAGTCTATATCACCTTCTAAACTGTATATAAAGCTACAGAGTGCATTCATGACAGCTAATTGGTAATTCACTCTATTGTAAGGTAATTGTAAAGCACGGCTACAAAGTGAAAAGAGATTTAAAAAAATATTTAAGTTGTACAGTGTGGTATTTCCATAGGCCAACAAGTGCAACAATACGAGACTCCGTTACTAATCTTCAAAACAATCTGGCCAGAAAACTTATGATGTGATACCAAGAAAGGCCGTCAGAACAAAAATTACTAAATGATTGAAAAAATCTAAAACGTTATATGATGTATTCATATCCTTGTAGTTAGTTTAGATGGCAAACAGTTTGTAAGACTAAACATATAAGTGAGATAGCTTTACCGGCAAGATTAAAAAAGCCAATTTATTATGATACAAATCGAAAGTACTAGGGATGTGAGATATGTTAAGTAAAATATATCACCTTTATACATTTAAGTCCAAGTTTTTCCGGAACAAGTCCATCAGGAAGTTCGCGAAGAAATAGCTTTAAAACACCTGCCAAAGCATAAATATCAACATTTCCCAAAGAATAAAGATCGTCGGCTGCCGATACCTGGAACGCAGTTTTGAATCCGTCAATTAACTTAGCACTCCCATTGATGCGAAAAATTCCTTGTGAATTGAGGCCGTAGTGAAGCAAATAATCACAAATATTTTTTACTATTCGAGGCACTGGTTTTGTAGAATCTCTATCAAGCAGGACTTTTAATGGAACACCAAAGTTGTCTTCAGTTTGTACGAGTGTTTTCCGTTTAGACTTAGGGCTGCTATTTATTTTGCGAACAAATCGATCCATAGTACAAAAATCATACAGTCTTCCGCAACACTTTAGAATGAGACTACAATATTATTCAGCTAGAGATGATATTCAAGTCACCATCTTTCAGATTACCAGAAGCAACGAATGCTTGACGGGTAACCTTGAGAATGAAGAATATTTGATTTGCGAGCTTCTGTAAAGAGTACATTTAAATGCTTGTTAAAAACACTACAAGGACAATGGCTATATTACTTGATACTGTAAAACTTCATTCATAAAATCATCGAACTAATAGACTTGTGAAGTCAAAAACGTATAAGGTTCGTTTTGATAATCACTAGTTTGTCACTTCATTATTATTTGGCGTAACCATACAAATTCCGAATAAACTTAGTGAGGAATAGACAGTCACTTTTTTCTTCAGGAAATATTAGCTAAATCCTGTCAGTATTCTCACAAATTCTCCGAAACGCAAAGTCACTGCGACTATTTTTATGCTTTCGCTTTAAGTTTATTCTTAGACGAAATTCATTAAATTATTGTTTCAAACTATTTAAGGTATTCCCCGAAGATATTAAGCTGCATAGCCATTCGGAAGATATTCTGCCATACATGATGGTGTGGATGCTAGTGTTTAGATTTAGGATGTGTATTCCTGCATCTATCTGTGCCACAAGAATAATAGACGTAGCATAATATTGCGCACTTGTCTTGATTTGACTGCCTAACCCATATTATCTTACGTCAAAATCACATCCTACCCCATACTGAGAAGGCCTCATCGTGTAAGCCGGCAGTACTGTTAGCAAGATCTTATAAGTACAAATTCTTAGCCACCTGATTCAAGCTGTAACATATTCAGGCTGGTAATAGGATAATAAATTTTATGTGCAAATGTGTAAAGCTACCACTCCTGTTTGGTTGAGTCTTTCAGTTTCCATAATTATTCCAGTATCGTGTGAATCTTCATCGGTCGTACGTGCTCAACCTCAAGAATTATTTTAGGTAATGAGTATATGTTACCCATGTCTCCCTACACACACAAATCTACCACCAGTTGATGTAACAGAATATGCTTCCTTCCAACCAATACAAATACCCGACTCAGTTGATTTCCACGGACATACAGTACTTTCACTCTTTTTCAAATATGGAACAGTCCTTCGCAAGTTACCGAAATGGGTCACTGCAATGCACAACGACGTATTAAAACGTGTGCAATATATCGTAAATCAGGTTGGATAAAAATGTCAGACGGTTGATTTCATGTTAAGAGAGGGATAGAAGAACTTAACAAATGGTCCAAAAGTTATTGCGCAGTTTCCGATTTTGTGCTTCAAAGGATTTTAGCTTTGCTCGTAAACAGGTGTTCTGAGATTTCAACAGAGCGTTAATTTTCTTACTGAGCATTCTACCAAGCAAAATTACGAGAGACTATTTGGCGATACTGGCATTAAATAGTCGTTGGTATATAACGGGCTGTCAAGCACCTTGTAGAAGGAACAAGTAGACAATTTGGAAACGCAAAACCTATAAAAGTACATAAGATCATACTCACATTGTAAGGTCCAAACTAGGGTTTGGATTGAGGAATAGCTGTCTAGGTGGGTTAGATACGCGCCCTTGCCCGTTTGAAACCAAAACAAAGTAATTAGGTAAAATGACGGTTCTATAATTTAAATGTACATTGTTACCACCCAGCTATTCAACCAATAATTGTTCAATTAATCAAGTCTAAATTACAATAAATAAGGAAGTTGAAAAGAATGCTAGAAAATTACCAATAGAAACAAATAAATGCTATTCTATCCTGTCTGGATAGATCACGCACAGACTCGTTCCAAAGATAATATTTGGTTGCTTTATAACACAAAGTGTTTCCAATTCTGGAAGAGTACTTCAATTCACAATCAAAAACATACAATTCCAGTCAATACACACAACACAATCAAAGGAAGGAACAAACCTATATGGCTGCCGCCAAGAATAAGTATCACATAAAACAACATGAAGGCAGTTCAGGAAGAAACATAAAAACTTAGTGAAAGCGTAATAAAAATAAAAACTATAATAAAATACAGATATTATCAACTCAAATGAAATGAAGTAGACCAACAAAAATGTACAACTAAAGGTATCAATAAGAATACATGGGGGGGGTATGATAATTAGAATTATTTGAATCATGGTAAGAACTAATAATCCCAGAAATAACGTAATTGAATCAAGAACTACTAGATAAGCATGAACGAATGTACTGTATTTATAATTCGAAATCAGGCGTTGAACGAGTACAAAGAGTCATTAATTCATTCAAACGCCACATCCGTCACAGCTTAAATTGGAGTCTAAGTGTCTGTAATCGATTGTACGTCTTCTTCTCAAGTTCTGATTTTCCACTCTTGATATGTTTGATAGTCTTCTTGATTCTTTTGATCGTTTGTGGAGCGACACCAACAGGAAGGTCTGTGCGTTCTGCCCCGACGTCTGTTAGGTTCGATGGAGCTGGTCTATTTGATAGTTCATCAAAGTATTCTACCCACCTACTCTTGAGTCTCAGTGATTGGTTTCTCTTCTTTGTTCCTGACTGGTCGTTCGAATTTACTATATCTCCCAGCTTTAGTGCTGTCGTTGATAGGCTTGTTTACTTCTGTGTATTCAGCATAAGCCTTGACTACCTTTGTTCTTGTTTGACTGTTATTAACTGCTGCCTTTTTGTTTTTTCTTCCCTGAATCCTCGCCAGGGTATCCGTAGATATCCAGTCTTTATACTGGCGTTTCTGGCGGCTTAGCATCTCCTGGTGTTTTGGAGCTAATGTCCTTATACTTTTTTAATAGTTGTTTTCCTAAGTATTTTCCTCTTCTTTTACCATATATTGTGATGCTTGTAACCTATTGTATCTGATAAAGATCCAGGATTGTTTCCAAACTCAGTGAACCATTTGTTAAATATGCAATTATCTGCGAACATTATACTGTAGTGTAGTGTCGCCTCGCGGTTGACTATGATCACCACTAAATAAAAACTACGTGCCAGTTAACCGATAAGGTCCCTGTAGGCCGAATATCAGAAGGCTGTTGACGGCTGTAGTCGAGATGTATTTGCTGGCAATCTCGTGGTATCGAAAGAATACTGAGATCGTGCCAAAAGAGTACAAGCGTGGTTACTGAGCGTAACCGAATTCGTACAAGGTCAAAGTCAACGGGAGGAGAATAATGGCTGTCTTTAGTATAGTTAAACAAACGAGCACAGTAAAACGATCACTGGTACAATTGGTTATAATAATGATTGTTTCCATTAAACCAATCGCGTTCTGTTGATCAAAGTACTTTCCAAAGTCCTTCTAAAGATACTACTATTTTGAAGCATTTGAATGTCATAAAGTTTAGTTGATCTTTATTGTAAATTCATAAACATAAAGTGGATTATATTCATCGAAGTTGACATCAATGCATCTTATTACATTGTGATAGAAACAAACATTTAAAAAAGAAATACCATTTCATGGCATCGGTTTGTGGAATCTGTGGGCATGGTCAGGACGTTAAGCTATGAGTTTTCACTCACACGTTACATATTGTCGAGGACTTTGGAATGTTGTTATTTATCAGCTATTAACTGAATTTCTTCTGTCAAATGTCGGTTTTCGTAATGTTTGTGCTTTTCACATAGATTTTAATCCAGTTTATCAGTGGTTTGGTATATTTGTTGCTTACAACCTGGGTGAATGTTTAGTTAGCCCAATGTGGTTATTTGTAACAATGGAAACTCAGGCAGGTAAAATTCACCATTTAACAAGCCAGAAATAGACTGAAATAAGATTTTTATGCAAAAATGAGCTCTAAGATTTTTTACATTTGATTCACCTCCCTAAAGGACACCAGTTTGTCCGAATTTATCCACGATTCAGGTTACATTTACTCGCAGTAATTTTTGCTTCCAGGCAAACAGGACAGTACGCCCTCGACCAAAACTATACGCAAAATTTACCCAAATCGGACAAAATTTCCCTCAAAATAGGTAGAGTGAGAAGTTACGAAGCAACAATCGATCCAATGTGTGCACTACAAAACAGAGAGATCTAAATCAATATTCTTCGCAATGTTTCTGTGGTTTTGCTGCAACAAAAGATCACTTAACTATGAGAACACCTGATACGCATGCAGCCCAATCGACACCCAACAAACCTACAGCATTTGAAATACAGAATGACAGCTTCTTGTGAGACCGTTTAGGGTCGTTGAAACGGAACGGCGGGCAGCTTTGAAAGGGTCTGACTTTTTCCCATGCCGAATCTGTGTCCAAATTAGTAGAATGATATTGTACAGTCCACAGTCATCATTAATGTGGTACTGTCGGCACAGTATCCACTCTGGGTTTTCTTTATATTTTCTTTATTTACTCGATATGATCTGTTTAGTAAATAAAAAGTAATTAGTGGTAATTCATGTTCGTGCAATGCGATAAAATTTAACAGTTAATGGATTTACATTTTATGATTGATAAATCCAAGATTATAGTACAAACATTTATTAATACAGTATTGCTGAAATTTATATTTATTTTGAATATGTACAAGATAACAGAAAAGCAGTTTATTAAAAACTCAAACTCAATTCTATAGTCATAATTTATTGACATTATATTATTGGAAGTTTCACTCTACATCCTTTCTTTTCATGAAACATGTTACCTTCATCTAAATAAAATTATTTCTTCTCTTGCAGGGAAAAATTGGACCGGTGTTTCGGAATCATCCGTTCTTTTCTTATTTTAAGTGAACAAAAACAAACAAACAAACACGGTAAACTCTTGATTGATCTAAATCATCTATTAATCCGATTTCATGGAATAACAAATGTTTTTTTTTATTATTGAATTGTGCCAAATAAATTCTTATCGAATTGATCAAAAAAGAATGAAGGGAATTTTGATCCACTTTGATCGATTGTTTGTAACGAAAAATATATTTCATATCTCTACCAATAAACTTTAAGGCTCATACAAAATATTCAAATATGAACGAGTTATATTTTCTAATATAAAGTCACAACTTTGACGATACGGGATAAAAAAATTTTTTTCATGAGAAGACTCACTCAATAAAAACTCAAGTGACACAATTTAGAAATAGTTTTTGACGATCAACTAAATTATAAAATTCTTATCAAGATTCTTC